TGGTGCTCAACACAGACAAACAGCAACCCCCAGTCTCTGCTCCCACTTCCGTTCCCCAAGAGCCACTTCTGCAGACTACTCTCTGTTTGTATGTATTCATACAAAAGCCACAGACAAGAAAGTTTTAAGTGTATTTTACTTTAAAAAAAAAGTACACTGCATTCTAATTTAAATTAAATGGACTCTTAAAGAATAAAGTTGCTTAGAACTAAAATTGAAATTGTAATACAGAAATATATAACCTTCTATTAATCCACCAAAATAGCTTTATTCAGACAAATATTTAACCATACATGTTTGCTGCCAATATTTTAGACAGATGTAGCCATTGGGGAAATCACTGGTAAACAGAACTACACTGTCCTCAAGCAATAGATCAGCTTCTGACAATTTTAAGTTCCTTCTGTGCATTTTAGAATATCTTTTTTATTTCAGATTATTTATATGTTTAAATTCAGTAACTATTTCACCTGAAATTCAGAAAGTGCATAGAAGTAAAAAAAAAGTATTATCCTTTTATATATCAAGTCTTTGAATAAAAGTATGACAATGAAATCAAATCTCAACAGATTTTTTTCTCAGTTCACTAACAGACAATGCCAACTTTAACAAGTCACTTCTAATACTGAATATTAACACTTATTATTTTAAAATTTAACTTTTAATAAACCTTTCTTCATACACATTGAATACTATTAACACATTTTTAGTCAACTAATTTACAAGGATTAAAATACAGGTCTTTTGCCATGTCTGAAGAACACATAAAGGTGTGATGAATCACATATCTAATGTTACATCATGTAGTAAACTGACAATAATGAAGTACAAAAATTAGGAGAACGTGTTTAAGTATACATTCAGTTCTTAAACTACTCCATTACAGGTATTGATTAGTTCTGCTCATCAATGCATTATAAAAACAAAGCACAAACACTACTTGGAAGTAAAACTGGTTATCTGAACAAAAGACCTGCACTAGTGGGAAGACAAAAGTGTGTTTGTTTACCACAGACATCAACTGCAATTGAAGCTGGTAAACTCTTGCCGCAGATAAGCAAACGTAGGTGGATGAAGATGCAGGGCAAGTCACAGGCCTAAAGATATTGCGAGGGCCTTCCACAGTCAGAAGGGAAATACAGAAATGTTTTTCTTGACAAAGTTGCCATTAAATCTCACCATCTGCTACCCAGGTTTATTTTCGATCATTTCTCAACAGAAGTGAGCAAGTCCCATAACCTATAAAGCAGACAGAATCCAAAGGGTAACCACAGTGTCCCCCTGCTCTGTAGTACCAACCCGAGAAACAGCAGCTGCTCGCCAATAATGTCATGGAATTGCCTCCGTTTTCTGCTGTTGTTGTAAGAATATTTTCACATTAATCAACACATGCACCCACTTGTTTTTTAAACTTATCTCCTAAGGAATCTGGTGTGTATATCTACATGCACATACACAGACAGACTTGCTATTATCATTCTGTCAGGTCTTGGTAAGCCCCGAAATTCCTACCATTTTGAAGAAGCCTCCAAAACAAGTGAAGGCGCAAACCATTAAGCTGGGTGCCAGTCACTGAAAAGTACACATGCTGGGCGCTTCTACTTTCTCTGCTTTTCCCTCCTCTTTCTGTAAATCACATGAATTCTCTTCAATTCCTCATACTGTGTCTTCTCCACCTCTATTGCTTCCTTGATGATGCATTTCTGTAACATCTTGCATATATTTTCCTTAAGGAAAGTATTTTTTTTCACTTTTTTTTAGACTTTTCGTTTTGGATTTCCTCTTTCCTATAAAAATTTCAAATACTCGATGACTATCAACTCTAGTCTGTCTTCGCCCCCAAGCACAACTTCTTCGTGACTCTAGCAATGAGCAGAGAGACTGGACTGTTTTTCTACTCACCACCCCTAGAAACCAAGTATATTTTATATGTTTGAAGACAAGCCCTTAGGCAGCTTGCATCAAAGAACCAACAACATTTTGGCAAGCTCAACTTTCCCATGGCTTTCAGAACTCGCTCAGTATTGATCTAAAGTCAGAAATATTCCTAAGAAAAGGCAATTTCTTCTTTAGAAGCTGAAAAAAAAAATCACAGGATCTTTAAACTTAATCTAGCTGTATTATTCATTAGAAGTTATTTATTGAAGCATTACTAATAAATGTGATCATGCAAGGAGTTAATGTAACTTAGTTTAAGTCACCACAAGACCTGTATATTTGTATTATTTTTCTATCTGTACCTAGAGAGAAAAAAAAAATTGCTCCTGCAGCTACTATCGGCTGAGGAAAATGCTGAATATTGAGACCAATGCAACAGAGTAACCATGATTCCAGGAAAAAAGACAAAGCATATCACTCCTAACCTCTTCAAGGGAAGAAGCTGGTATCTTCTGCAAAAAGTAGCAAAACTGCTTGAATACTAGTAGAATAAGCTCCACTGCAAATTGCTATGTCTGAGAGTATTTCAGAGTGGAAGAAGTCACCTCTTACCACCACGTAGTCAGAGCAGGACCAACTTCTAAGCTAGACCAGGTTGTTCAAAGTCATTCTGGTCAAGTTTTGACTATCTCCAAGAACAGGTATTGCACAGCCTCTCCAGGCAGCCTGTTCTAATGCTTAACCACATTCAAAGTGAACATTTCTTTCCTAATTTTGCACCAAAATTTCCTTCATTGTGATTTGTCCTGTTACCAATCTAATCACCTTAGAGCTACCTGTAAATGTTTGTAAATCTGTACTATACACGTCAACTACACCCAAACTAGATTATTTCTGTCTAAACAGATTGAGCTATTTCTTGCCAATTAAAAAAAAAAAATATGTAGGAAGAGGGACTGGTCTTGAGAATTTCCCTCTCCCAACTTAACTAATGTAATGAAGACAGAAGAATCCTGGATTTATGTCATTTTGTTGCTTTCAACCTTGAAATCTTTGCTGCAATGACAAAACTTCAAACCAAGACCCATGCTCTTCCCTACTCCTGAAATATGTGTGTGCATGCCTACACACACACATATAGAGTGAATTAAGTCAAACATCAGCGCTTAAAGCACATACCTAGAAGTTAGGAGACACTATTCTGAGCCCCTGCAGGCTAAAAAGATGAAAGCACTCAAATAACTTGGCAATTATACAGGAACACTTGTCCAGTTCTGGAAGAAAAGTGTTTACGGTTCTGTAGGCTGTACTCAATGACACAGAAATCTTCACTATGTGCATGGCAGCTGCCTGGACTGAACGCCACAGAAAAATCAAAGGGAATAATGGCAGTTTTAAATATCTTTAACAAACTGCAATTCTGCACAGATTCAGAGAGAGAATTTCTGTTCCACAAAAGCTGAGCTGTGAATGTGTGTGTGGGATGGTACTTGAAAGAGCTTAAAGACGATCCTCCTTGCACTGACGCTCTATTGATCTAATTTGAGTCTTAGTGTAGTTGACAGCTCATCCCTGGTCAATTCTGGGTAAGTACCTACATTACTGCTTAATAAAGGTTTGGGTTATGTTTCAGGGTACAGTCTTGTGCTCTGCCTAAGGGCTTCCCCCTACACAGGTTAGAAGCTGCAGCAATTCCCAAATGGACCTTGGCACTTGGTTACAAGAGGATAAACACCAGCCCATGGGAAGAGGCAGGATCAAGTGGCTTCAAAGGGGCAAGTCCATTACACGTTTGACGCAAGTCTGCTCTTAAAATCAGCTGTCAAGCTATGTATCAAGCACAGTCCCAACAGACAGCTCTGCCAAGTCCTTTAATCTAATATTGCAGGTACACACCAGAAACAGAATAAATATTGTAATTTGGGTACTTACCAGGCTTCCTCCTCTCCCCATTTTAAAGGGTTCATTGAATCGTTATTCTTGAAAGTAAATAGCTCAAAATAACATATCAAAATAAAATCAAGCACTAACCAGTAATTGATAAGTATGAAAAGAAAACATAAAGCCTTTTATATTCAAGTATTAAAATTGCAGTACCAAATCAGTCTTCTCTATTTCCATCAAAATGTAAGGAAAACTCTACGTACTCCACTCCAACATGAGAGGGGCACAGCTGGGAGAACAAGAACTCTTACACGGAGACCAGCTACGGATGTACACGCTTGTACATGCAGAGCACTACTGTTCAGGACCCAAACATGAGAATGTGATACCACTAACAGCTCAGATACCATTCTGCTATTCTGACACTTCTCTGAACTACAAGCCTTTACAGAACCAGATCTGCCAGGTACAGCTGCTAGTAAGCAGCAAGGAAATCACAGTAAAACAGATTTTCCCACAAACTAGTTACAATCTTTATACTTAAGCTTCAGTTCCTGATAAAGCATGAGACAGTCACATTGGTTGGTTCCCAACACTTTTTAGTTCAACCCAATTTGACAGAGGAGTTAAAAGTCCAAACGATAATTGGATTTCCAGAAGTTTTTGATAGCTGGTGGCTGGAAAGACAACAGATATACAAATGGGAATTTTCAATAACTGAAAACCAGGCTATCACAAACATCACATAACCTCACCCAGGCCCATCGTGTAGGCATAACAAGTTTATTTGGATTAATTATGCCACACTATCTCTTGGCTGCTAGGAGTATCAGAAGGCATGGGGAAAGGCATACTGCAATTTCTTCAGTGGGTCAAGTTTTACAGAGATTGAAGACCCACACATACAGGAAACTGAAATTCAGAAAGTCAAACCTTCAATTCTGCTGCTCATAGATCTTGCTCCACAGCGTATTACGCCTTTCTGGCTTTGTCTCTACTTAAAAATTTGCTAAAATAGACCTAATCTATAATCTGTACTACAACAACACGTGACCACTATAATGTCCTCCTTTTCAGGGAAGTCTCTATATGGCATGTCAGGCAGATAAGCTCCCTGCCTGTGAAAGAACAAGAAACCCACCAAACCTCAAACCCCCCAAAAAATACCCCAGTCACTGCAATACACGCCTCTCAGATACAGTGGAAAAACAAACTTCTTTCAACTAGTACATATTTACCTTGAACATGGAGAATGATAAGCAGGTAGGCTCCAAGCAATCGCTCATAAACTCTCAGTCGAGTCATTGTTCACTTTTAATCCTTCCTGTGCAAGGCAACTGCACCTTCTGCTTGACAAGTGTTAAGCTCAGTCTGCTCGGTGAAGCCTAATACAAGATTTGGTGCTTGACTGCAAAGATGATTTTGTAACTTTCCCAACCTCGTTTCCTGAAAGACACAGTAAAACAAAGTGTTAAGAAACTCCTTGCATTTTTGAAACGAGAAAAAACCCTCGAGATTTTTCCACCACACTGACCACAACCATGTGGCTGCAAAAAAAAAAAATTAGAAATGTCTATTTTTTCAGAGGTTAATAACTGAAAACATTAGCCATATTTACTATCCAACTGAACAGCAAGGTTCCTCCAAAATACACATTTTTGGTAACAACCCACAGGAGTGTTTTCACATTCCTATCAAAAATATTATATATGTTAACTCACTAGTGACAGCCATGTATTTTAGACACATATACAGCTATCATGTAATATGAAACAGATTAACACATAAATCTGTTTGAAAACCATTTTCTTTATAGAAATTAAAATTTACACTTATTATTGCTCTTAAAAATGAAACTCAGTGCTGGCTTCTCATAATACTGCAGGGAAAAAAGCAACACCATGTTGAGCCACCCGTCGCAAAATGCTAGCAGAGAAGCTTTATTGCAATAAAAACCCAGCCTCTCCGCTGGATGAAAGCTAAATTTGTATTAAAATAGTTAGTTTACTTAATTTACTTGCAATGTTACTTTTGTCTTCTAGACTAGTACTACATTTTTTTTTAAAAAAGCACAATCTGATTTAACATTTGAATGAAGAAATTAATTTCTCACTTAACATTAACCATATTCCAGTCCCTCTTCCTCTAGCCCACTACGTTACATAGCGTTTTCTGGAGAAAAGCAAGCTAGCTCAGTTCACAAGGCCAGTGAACATTCATTATTAATCTCTGTTAACCCCAATGCAAATTCCCGACACCATTCTGGATTCCCAAGTTTTATGCATATTAATCCCTCTTGAAAAATTATGCTACTATAAGCACATGATATTTGCTCCAAACATAAAATATAATCCTACTCATCCAGTGGATGAGCACACAGCTACGACAGCCAAACTGAGTAAGAAGTTACTTTTCCAGACTGCAGTAGTTGCGGTCACGTTCTGCTTAACGAACTTTCTACCGCGATTCACAAGAGAAGCATAATTGGGCCTCAAAGGACTAAAAAGCAGTTCAAACACCTAAATAGTTAATCGCAACAAAAGCGACGCTGCACAAAGACGAACAGAGGAGTGATTTTGCCTTTCCTCGGCCTCTTGTTTTGGTGGGCTTGACCCCCCTGACCCCTGTCAGCCTGGCGCTGCTCGTGAATGCCACCGCCAGCGCTGGCGCAGGGACGGCCTGCAATTACTGCTGGTGGCCGCTTCCACCATCAATAACGCAATCTGTCTGTCGGCGAGACCCAAGAACTTTCCATTTTAATTAGTGCTTCGGAGGCATTTAACATGGAGGCAAATTAGCGGCCGAGCCGGGAGGTGTCCGTCACTTTCCTTTTCGGCGGGGCCGGTGCTGTGCTTGCCGCCGTGTTATGGCGGGCTGGACGCGGAACCACACGCTTTGCAGGCAGCCTCGGCATCAGTGACTTCAAATTAAACTTCCTGGCGAGGCAGAGGTAAAAGCAATACAGTAACAAGAAATATTCACTCTCTTCAGTGTTTCCTCATCACAAGAAACAGAAGCAGTTCTGACAGCTGACAGGGAGCGTCCTTCTGGCCCTAAAAACATCAGGCCAGCAGCATAAGTCTGTAAGTATTATTGCTTTATTCCATGTTTCAACTGCAATGAACGTCAATCCTAAATAAAACATGTGGAAGACGAAAACTGCCAACAGCTTGTATGTAGTAAAACAACAAATGCTTTATTTCCAGTATCATTTGTGCAAGTCCATCAAGGAAAAACTAAATCCACTATGAGTCTGTTTAAAGTATATTTAAAAATCATTTCTTTCTGTCTTCTCCATGCAGGTTTCAGTGAGGACTACATGTTCTCGCTCTTCCACACTTCCAGATTAGGAGTGTTTTACACTTTCAGACAATTTGTGATCTCACTCCCCCGTTCAGTAAGGTAAGCGAGCACACTGGCACAGAACTTAACATGCAACGTGTATTTACCAAGGGGCTACCCAGTATGTTACCAAAAAATCATGAGGAAATAGAAAAAGAACATTTTAATACAACCCACTTCCAATTTTATGGTGATTTTTGTTCAGTGACACAATTTAGGGCAATTTTAAAAAATGTTGTCCAAGACTATTCAACAATACAACGCTCTCCGCCTAGAACCGGTATGTTGTACCTGAATCTTCCTTTCATTAGTAATTCACTTACCACAGACATAAATGCATAGAAATGTAAATATGTATAAAATTTCTATAAAAACCATGTAACAAAGTGACCCTGAGAACAAGTTCTGTTATAACCCCCCATTTCAAAATCATTCCAATTTGAGAATGCTTCTTAACATTTAAAAGAATACCTCAAAAATGGAAAGCAAAACCCAGCAGGGCTGCAACCCCCCTCTCTTCCCCCAAAACGCACGTCTGATGCCTTAATACTACTGCTTGAGCTGTTCTGCTGCTGCTGCCGCTATCGGGGTGAAGCTCGCCCTCAGCCAGGGCAGCCCCGCCGCTGGGGGGCAGCCCTTGG